AGCAGGTTTCCAGCCAGGCATATCTGCTTTGTAAGTCGACACACCACGCCTGCAGGCATGGATGCATGAATGTTCTTGCTTCTCCATCCTAGGGCTCAGCTCTCTTCGACACACACGGTGCCGGAATCTGTATTCCGTGCAGAGCGGTACGGGCAGACACAGCTCCCCGCTCGCGCATGCACATCTATCCTCCCGCCGCCTGTCCCTTCGGCCAATGGATTCGAGGACCTCCTCTCCGGCGAGGTGGCAGGCGAAGCAAACTGCTTCAGACCCCAATATCTCCAGCTGTGATAACCCGCCGCCGGAAATAGCATCGGCAAGGCCGGCCTCACCAACCAGCCCTCCATCACCCTCCTCTTCATGCTTTTTCCCCCAGAGATGGCGGATCAGACAATCGGTCCAGATTAGAACAACACATATCTTCACCTTGTGATCAGCTAGAGTAGTATCGAGAGGCGATAGTCCTGCCCATGTCTGGCCCGTCCCTTGCCACCAACTATCAGGGCCTCCCCCAGCCTCGCCTCCAGTTCAAGAGGGCAAGCGAGACCGACTAGAGGCAGCAATGAAGACGCACTTCACAGCCAACCCCGACCCCGCGTCACCTCCTGCTGACTGTCCGTATCACCACGGCCATGGTCCCCCATACCAGTGTGCTGCTGATGCCGGAACGCCATTGAAGAAACTACGGAACGACGTGCGTACCAAGCAAGGTAGGTAGGTAAGGCGTCATACATGGGTAAGGAGGTCATTCCCACCCGCAGCCGCCTGTGCCATGAGTTCCCCCTCTGTCTCAGATGACAATGTCACCCCGCCTCGTCGCCCCTCCTCCCGGTTTCCCCATCCCGCTCTCCACACTCAGCAGCCCGCCCCCCCCCTGAAGAAGAACCCCCCCTCCCCCCCACGTCTATCCCCCGCGATCCACTGCATTGTAAAGCGGGAATGAATAGATGGAGAATAAATCCAAGCATTGTCAGACTCCAGCAGACAATCAATGGCGTGCAACCTTAGGAAATGGCGGCCGGTAGACGAATTTGTTTTCTTGGGATTTGTTGTGACAGTTGGTTATCCACATGAGGCCTGCTGCTAGTCATATACAGTGATATCATTACAGCCATATTGGTACACTCCTGCCAGAGAGCCAAATTTAAACCTCCTCGCCCGCCGAACCGCTCGGAGGTGGTGTAGCCACCTGGACTTGCGCAAGCTCTTTCTTCATCTGACCCAACCCAGCCAAGACATCGGGCCGCACCGTCCGCCCCCTCCGGACGACCTCCTCCGCGACCTTGAACGCCTTCGGATCCTTCTCCGCGACGCAGCGGCCGAGCACCTTGTCCGCGGTGCGCTGGCTCACCCCGGGGCTCGACGCGAGCCCGCACATCTCGTCGAAATACAGCAGCGCAACGTCGAGGCTGCCGTCATGCGCGAAGCAGCGGATCAGGTGGTCGACGAGCTCTGGCGACGGCGGGATCGAGAAGCGGTCCATCTCCTGGACCAGGAGCACCGCCGACTCGGCGTTGTCGCATGCCTCGAGGAGCATCAACATGGTGGCAGCCCCCGGCCCGGATTTGCAGATCTCGCACACCTGCTGGTAGACCCCGAAGGTGCGTGGGAAGCCCGCGCCGGCGCTGAGCAAAGCCTCCAGCACTACCTTGACTGCAATCACTGGCACGTTGTGTTCCTTGCTCAGGCTGTTGAGGACCCGGACGGCTTCGTCAACGAGCGCCGGGGAGCGCTTCAACGAGAGGAAGATGGAGCGGGTGCTGCTGCGGCCCACGTTCATCACCGAGTCGGCCATGATGCAGAGCACCCGGAACGTATTCTCCATGTCGCCGGCCTCCACGTAGCTCTCGATCAGCGGCTCGTAATGGTGTGCTCGTAGGGTGACATCCTTTTTTGACAAAAGTTCGAGGGCGGCGGTGGCCAGGGTCGGGTCGCCATGGCGTGCGGCAGTGTTGAGCACATTGAGGATCATTCCGTCGGAGGGATTGATGGTCCCTGGTGCAACCATCTTCTTCCAAATGAAGTTTGTGCCCTCGTACTCAAAGGCCCTGCTGCACTCGTCCAGGAGGTAGTACCAGAGGCTCAGGTACTCAGAGCGGGTGTCGTCCCGTTGCTTGTCGAGTGCCTTCCGAAAAGCCTGGAAAGCCTCGCCGGCAAATCCTCGCATCGCTAGGACGTAGATGAAGGTTTCAGACACCCAGGTGGGTATCTTAGTTCCCTCTTGGTGCAGCTGATCCCAATACTCCAGCGCCATCTCGTTTTGGCCGTCCCGCAGCAGCCCCAAAACGACGCTACCCTTGCCATCCGCGCTGAGCTCCACGCCAGCTTCGCTCATTTCTCTCAGGAGGGTGGTCCTGAGGAGATAATCTGGATGGATAGCAAGGAGCTATTGGGCGACCCAGTCAGCACTCAATAGGGGAACAGGTGAAGGGCAAAAGTGTTGAACTCTAGGAACGCCAACACCAGTTGCAGACTTCTGACGTACCTTTAATGCGCTGTGGTAAAAGCCAGGCGACCTTTCCATCCCCGCCGTCTTCATCTCCTTGAGGATCGCCGCCAGCTCGCCAGCACTCCCCTCCGTCGTGTCCCAGTTGGCTACCACCAGCGCCTCATACAGGAACACATTGGGCGACTCGCCACGTTCTTTGACAAGGTACTTGACGAGAAGCCGCATCAGGCCACCATTCCCCGGGGAGCTACGCAGATGGCGCAGCTTCTCATAAACGGTGGACGTCGACGCCTCGGCCACCCAGTCGGGTAGTACGGGACGTGGAGGAGACGGGGAATCCAAGGGAAATTCTGGCAGCCCTTCTCCCCTCACGGGGCGAAACTGGCGTATCTCAGCTGACGACGGAACACCTGGCGGACGCCGGTTCCCAATGACGTGGGTGCGGATCATCTCACTCCCGGGAGGCGACCGTTGAAGCGGACGTCCTGGGCGGGCCCATGGCTTGGACTCCGTGATTCGTCCCCGGGCCGACAGTGGCACATGAATGGGCTGGTGAGGCAGCTGGTCTGGCGTTGAATCGCTAGCGGTGGTGTGCGTCAAGCGAGCCGGGACATGGTTGGCACACCGGCGCCGCACGGGATGGGTCGCAAGGCCACGGGTGACCGCTGGGAAGGGCGATGAGGAGGCTTTGGTCAGGAGGGCTGCATCAATCGAGGGACACAAAGCCCGAGAGAGCGCGTCGATGGTGAAGCGCTTAGTCGACATCAAGTGGGCAGGGGGCCTTGTGGTGAGGTCGTGGACAACGGACTAAGTGGTCGCCGGGCGATGGGAGGGTTGATGATTTTGAAATTTCCCAAGACATGTAGTTGGATCCGTGACGTTGTATGGTGCGTTGAGATATCCAGAGGAGTGCGGTGCCTGTGTTGGAGAGCTTCCTTCGACCGGCTCTTACCAGTCTTGTCAAGGTTGAGGATCCAGAAAAGGAATTCTACGGTCTTGGCTGAAAGACGAGGCATCCCTGTCACTCAATGCCAAGCCGAGCCAAAGGCGCGCAGCTCCCACACCAGGTCACGTGGACCATGGGGAGCAGCCGGCGCAGGACACATACATCATTGTTCATGAAGTTGAATAGGGATGTCGGTGGCTCTCAAGCTGTTTGTGTTTGTTTCAGAAAGCTGAGGAGGAATCTGGTGCAGTCGGGTTATCGTTACTAGCGGTGGGCCGGGGTCAAACTCCCACGCAAGGCAGCTCACCGGCCATCAGGTGCGCAGCCCCCTCCTCCATCTGACAGTGAGTCGGCAACTCGCAACCGCCTGCTCAAGGGCGAGCTCATGTCCGAACTGCCTCAGTCAGGTCCCCAGGCCAGTGCCTCACTCCGGTGGCCCGAATATGTTGTCGCTATCGTCTCCCGGTAGACATGCGATGCCGTCCACGCTCGCTTGCTTGCTTGTCCATCAAAATATCACCGCACCGCTTCATTCCCGATCATGAACCCCGTCCCCTCCCACCGCGTCCACCGCCTCGGCCCCGCCCTCCCCGGCCCCTGTCACCGCCCCGGCCGCCGTGGTCGCCTCTCCCTTGCCCGCCACGGCCCCCGCGGTAGCCGCCCTGTTGGCTCTGTTGCTCCCTGACAATGTCGATGATCTCGTCCGGAACGCGGAGGTACTTGATCTGTCGAAGCACACACCCTGTCAGCAGCTGCTCTACACACCGTACCCAGCCACCCATCGAACCGAGGACCAGAGGAGAGAACCTACATTATTCCCCTTAACATACACTTCCGGCAGGCGCATAAACTTGTCGCCCTCCTAATCCACCACCACAGTGTCAGCGATCGCACCCACCAAACCACACCCACCACCAACAACTCCGCCAACACCGCCAAGATCGAGGCCAAAAACCCACCGGGCTCGTCTGCACCACCTCGCGCAGCGTCAGGTTCATCCACGTGTCGCAGAGCACCAGATGGCCGTTGAGTGTCTCTCCGTTCTTGAGCTCGACGAGCATCGGGTGGCCTTGCGCCGCGTTCAAGAGGCCGAGGGGAAGCTGCGATGACCAACAAACGAGGGGTTGTCAGTTTCACCTGTCTGTCCGTTTGTTCACAGCCCTGGGTATGGGCGGGGAGACACAAAAGAGCTTACCATTGTGAAATCGACTGTGCGTCCCAGCGCGCGACGCCGCTGGTCGGTTGGTGGTTTGGCTGGGTCGTCGCGGGGAGCGCTGCAGGTGCCAGGACGAGCCTGGGCGCTGGAGCTTGCGAGCGGCGGGATGACTTCAAGCTGCAGGGAACGGGCCAGCTGACGGTGATTGGCTGGGCTTGTTGACGAGGCTGAGGCGGGTCGTCTAACCGCTGTAAGCTACAGCTGGTAAGATACCCGTACGGACAAACCCGTTTTTACAATCTTTCGCGGCTCGGGGCCTTCTGAGGGACAAGGCAGCACTGCCACCCATCCAACCAAGGACAGACACTATTTCTTCCTCCGGGAGGTATCACCACAAGACGGCCAATATCAACAAAAAGGATGAAACGGCCAACAAAACGGCAAAAGAGTGGACGGGCTGGGAATCGAACCCAGGACCTTTCGCAGTCAAAGCATGAATGCTAAGCGAACGCTCTACCAACTGAGCCACACGCCCTTGAGAGAATGGTCTTCCGATCTCGGTCTTACCTATGCCGAGCGCTAGGGAAAGTTCCAACTGAGACCATCCATTCTCATGGCCAACGAAAGCAACACTCCATGCCGAGACGATGGAAAGGGGCAAACAGTTGATCGAGTCTAATGAAGCTAAAAGACCTCCTTCTCCTGAACCGTACCAATCAAGACAGCAACCAGCCAAAGCAACTGGTGCCAGGCAGAATAGGAAAGAGAACTGCACATGAAACCTGCCTCAGAAGAGTCGAGGAGAAAGCCAGCTTTGACAACAAAAATGACAACAGGGTCCATACTTGTGGCGCTGACTTGCCCCCACGGATAAACATCCATAAATAATACTACTCAGTCTGTATCCTAGCTCGGCAGGAAGCTCGCGGAAGAAGCTCCAGCCCTTCCTCAACTCCAACACGCCACCCTTTTTGGCGGCCCCCGCTTAGGAGGCGTTCTCTCGGCTCTTGCGATAGCTCGCCTGGAGGTGGTAGCAGAGCGTCAGCATCACGGCCTGTCTTGACTCTCGTCCCGACTTTAATGCAACGCGTAAGCCGAAGCACGACTTGCCTCCTGTTCGACTTGCAGGCCATCAATGATGGGCGCGAGCTCGCTCAGAATCTCGTGGGCCTTCTTGTGGTACTCCATTTGCGCGGCGATGAGCTCGGCCAGGTTGCGCAGCGGTTCCGGGGTGTCGAGGACCTGCGGGGGAAGTGATTCGTCAGCTGGCTCGTCACAACGGGAAGTGGAGAGGCCTGGGGGAGGGGAGGGGGAACGACTCACATTCTTCATGACGCCCACGGCCTCCTCAGTCTGGGTGACGAACTCGTCCTCGGCCTTCTCAATCTCCTCCTGCGCCTCGGCGCTCAGCTCGTGGTCGTCGTGGGGGTCGGCGCGGGGCGCGTTGGCGCCCAGCTTCCAGGTGGTGCCCTTGACGCGCGCCTTGACGGCGTCCAGGGTGAGGCGGGCCTTCTCGACGGCCTTGCGGGCGCGGGTGGCGAAGAGGATGTTGGTGTTGAGCGTCGTGTTCCAGCCGGCCAGGAAGCGGCTCTGGACCTGGGCGTCCTGGGCCAGGCGCGCCTCGCCCACGCGCTCCATGGCGAGCGCGTACTTCTCAAGCGCCGTCGCGAGGGGGTCCTCGCCCGCGCCCGTGTGCTGCTGGTGCAGGGTCTGGCTGCTGGCCAGCGAGGCGCGGGCCATGGCGTGATGGAACGTCTTGGGCTGCGGCTTGGCGGTCGGCGGGGCGGTCAGGGCCGCCTGGGCCTCAGCGGGGGACGAGGCATTCGAGAGGAGGGTGACCTTTTCGCTGACAGTGCGGCCCAGGTCCTGGAAGGTCTCCTTGATGTTGGGCGGGTAGTCGTAGGCCTCGTGGGAGTACTGCGAGCTGTTTGGGGGGAGAACGTATCAGTAAGACGATACCGAAGCCCGGATGTAGCTGCCGGCACTTACGTGACAGCCAGCATCTTTTGGTGGACCGCCTTCAGGGCATCGACGCGCTTCTCGAGGTCGATGTAGTCGGGTGGGAGCTGGGTCTGTCGGTTTGGGGTCGTATTAGCCATCAAGCTCCGTCCGGGCGGGCGTCCCCGAGTGTCGCAAACCTTGTCCTCGGCCTGGCCCAATTGCTCCTTGGTATACTGGAAAGTGCGCGAGGCAAAGGGGGTGATCTGCCCACCAAAAGAGCTGGTGAGACGGCCATGTCAGTCATCCGTATTCTACCTCTGGCGGTGCAACTGATTGGGATCCGGCGGCGCCGTTCCGGGTGCGGGGCATCTTACGTGAGGCTCTTCTGGAAACCCTTGAAGGCGTCCATTTTGATTTCGTGGGGGCGGGCGACTTGCGATCGGGCGCTCGAGGGTGTGCGGGGGGAAGGGGATGTGCTGGCGACAAAACTGGGGGTTGTCGTCGATGAGAAGCTTTGTGATGCAGCGGCCCTTGCAGGTGTTAGGGGGCGCCAAGGCCCTGGCCCACAGCAGCTGATACCCCGCCAATCCTTGCTGCTCCAGGCGGGAACCGAGATTTGATTGGGTGCGGGCTGCCGTTGGAGAGGCTGCTTTCGTCGTGACCTGCAGCTGGGACTCGCTGGGGATTCGACCAGAACTCGACCTTGGCAACGGTAAGACGGGAAAACCAAACACCTGAAGAGGAATCTTGCTCTCCAGATGGTGAGGAGCGCGAACAACACATCGAACGAAGCATCTGATAGTATTATGATCATAGACAATAATAAATGAATCAAACGAGTCGAGCAAACTAGGTACCTAAAGACCTCAAACAGACCACCCTGCAACCCTCGAGCCTTTATTCCCGGAAACCTGTCTCAGTCTCGAGGGGCGTTCCCCACTCACATTCCTGCTCCCGTCGGATACGGCGCCCAAGCCCCCGGCAAACTTCTAATCCGCCGGCTTCAGGTCCTCCCACGACGGCACCACATTCCTGCACACATCCTCGTAGTCCGCCATCAGTCTATCGCTCGTCGTCGCTTCCGGCGTCGTCCAGAACATGGTCCAGTTGCTTTCGGGCAGCTTCCACGCGCCGCGCGACCTCTCGCAGTACCATTTGTTGACCGGGTTGTTCTTGCGGCTCCGCCAGCACACGCCCTTGGGGAAGCAGTCGCGCAGCATGGCGTTGAAGACGATGTCGGCCACGCCGCCGGCCCCCTGGTGCTTCTTGAGCACGGCGAACTTGTCCAGGTACGGCACCAGCCGGCCCTCTCGGTACGCCGTTTCCCGGTCCATGCCGAACGGCCGCTCCCACGTGAGGATCGCCCCACCTGCGTACTCGCCAGCGATGATGATGCCCGCGAGATCGTCCTCGACCCGGCGGAGGTAGTGGTCGACGTCGAGCTTGCGGTTGAACGAGTCGTTGATGAGGTGGACGAGCCGCGGCAGGTCGATGCACGTGTCGGTCAGCCGAAGTCGGGGGGCGCCTGGCATAGGGGGCAGCCAAGGGCCCGCCCTCGTGTTGGGGAAGATGGTAACCGGTAGGCCCTTCTTTAAGAGTGTCGTGGTTGGCATGGAAGAAAGGGCCGGGTCGGGGCCGCGGGGCTTGGATTTGATCCTCCCAATGGGAAGCGAAGCCGAGTAGAGCGGCTTGTCCGTGAGGAGGTTGTGAATCAGGGGGTTCTGCCACCTTCTGGTCTTTACCTCGGAAAATTCCGAGTCGCCTACCTGGGGAGGCGGGGGTCGCAGATTTGCAGCCTCGGCGGGGCTGGTTATAACCACCGAAGCTGTCGATGGGAGCATTGCCAGGGCATCCCTAGCGAGCCTCAGATTTTCGGCATGCCTGGGCTTGACATTCGATAAGCTTGCCGCGGTCGTGAGAGGAACAGCTGGCTCGTGGGTTGCCAGAGCAGCTTGGAGCTTGTCAGACTCTTCTTCCAGGTTGACAAACACGCGTGCTCCATTCCCCTGGCTGCTTGACGGTGTCCCACCATAGGGGTCAATGACGATGATCCTCTCCACCACGGCTTTGCGGACAGGGCGGTGGACCGAGATGGCATCGGTCACGGAACTCGTTGTTTTGTCGAACTGTAGGCCGGAGAAGAACTTGGTGAGGGAGAGAACAATGTCGTCGGCACTGGCCGCCGAGTAGCTCAGTGTCTCATCGCACGAAACGCGCGGTGGCACCACCAGGATATGGCCATTTGCCAGCGGTGAGGTCACCGCTTCCCCAAAGCCAACAAACAAATCCGTGGCACCGATCGAGGAGAGTGTTTGTGACAGCACCTTGGTCTTCCGTACCGCCGAGCTAACCAGCTCTGCCCCTGGGGAGTCGTACTGGCCAATGGCATTGATGATACGGCTCGTCTGTTGGGAAACAAGCTCCCCCCAACTGGCGCTTCCAATGTCGTCCGAGTTGCACTCGAGGACGATGACACTTCGCAGGCCCAAACTCCGCAGATGGGTGAGTGTCTTGGCAACCCCATTGAGCAGAGAATCGTCCCAGGCCTGGGTGTCTCTCAACTTCACGATTGCAACGTGCGGCACCGCATTGGCGCGGCTCGCAGAGATTGGCACCGGGCCCTGTACGAGGCGTGGTATGCCGAGTTGATGGCCAAATCCGCTTTCATCCTGTAGAACGGTAGTGAAAGCCGGCGGTTGGTCTGGCTCAGGACGCAAGGAAGCGCCGATGGTCTGGAGATAGTTCTTGGCGTCCCGCTTCGTCGTGGAGGACTCAAGGACTGAGATCAAGAATTCCTGTCAACGTGTCAGCCAAGCAGGGTAAAGAGTCTAGCTGTCGCCTGGGTACACAGGAGGAGAGGTCGAACCCTGTCTGCTTCTCTCTTCTGCCTGGTCGCCGTGGACGGCGGGTGGCGGCGGGGAGTCAGGGTGGCTGCTGCTGGCCCGCCCGAAAGGGGGTCATTCTCAGCCGTGGATACATGGCGACCGGGCCTTGTGCGAATCAAAGCCTGCGGTGGTTGTTAGTAGATGAGCCATCTCGATTGGGGCAACTTGCAGAGCGCGGGATGGATATGTCTCACCTGGACTGCTGTTGGTCGTCTGAGTACGCCACGAGCGCTGATGTACATGGCTCGAGCAGGCAGGATGATCGAGCTGGTAATATCCCGGGGTCCCTTTGCGAGGAGACCCGGCCGATGAGTAAACTCTCAGACCGGGGGTATTCTCATTATTTTGGGGCTGGCAAGGATGGACGCGAAATAGAAGAAGCGGTGATTTTGAGAGTGCGGATACAGAGTCGTGAGTCAAGGATAGGTAGGAAGCTAATGAATGCCCCGGCTAACAACCCTTGTCTGCCCAGCAAAATTATCAGATGATCGGATAAGAGCCAGGCGGGGATCTTGGGAGTTGGGTAGGTCTCCTTAGCTTGGCGGGCCCAACGGCTTCGGAAGAGGGGAGGGCGAGAAGTCGGGTGGACCACTGGGCATGTGTGAGGCAAGTCTTGAGAGTGACCGAGGCCCGTTCTGTTCCGCTCGCAACCTTACTGTGTCGACCTGGGGCCGCAATTAAATAGCGGAAAATTAATTGAGACTGCGGC